CTTAATGTTGGGGAGGAGATAGAGGTTCCCCGAATATCAGAGGGTTTATTCATACCAAGCCATTCGCTTACCATTTAGCCTTTCGTCGGAGTGACGACAGCCTCCTTGGCACGATTCGACTCTAGAAAGGATCAGCGGAGTGTGATATGGGCACTCCTTGCAGCACTCCTTTTCTTTCGGCCCTGAAAACTTGCAGAACATATGCACCTCCTAGATTCACTTTCGTCGAGAAAATGATCATGTTTTGAGCCAAAAAAGATGAGTTACGTGCACTACAGACGTTTCAGACAACGCCTTTTTACTCTTAGACCAGTACACGATGCCAGCAATGGGGTAAAGGTTGAAGTGGGAGCCAATTTTCGGATCTAAATCTAATCTAGCCAATTGGACTGACAACTTGCCACAGCTTCAATCCTCTTTGATCGCGCATTGACCCTGCTAAGTCGAGATCTCGGCGGAAGGTGCATTTCACGGTATCTCTAAATGCTTTTACAACTGGAAGGCTGCCAAGTGCATGGCGTCTCCATACGGAACTCCTCAATTACTGCTGTTTCACTCTCTGTCATTTAGTAACCACGTTAGGATTTTGTTTCGATTTTTTCATCACTAATTCTTTTGAACAGATTGAATTCTTTTATCAAAACATTGTCGTCACTGAGAAATTGTTTATGCCTGCCCGCATACCTGTTTTTGTATTTGAATTCAAATCACAATGGCTTGAATAATTGTTGATTACTAGTAACCTCAGCTTATTATTGAGTGGCACTCAAGCGAACGTTGATGTGAGTAGAGCAACCCTCAAATTAAGTCACTCTCTCGCAACAACTACCGTCGCTACGATCTAACGCAATACCGCTCCAAGAAAATTTTTAAAGCGTACAAATCTCAGTTTCAGGTATGTTCACCTTCTCTTATTTGAAACTTCCTAATATTCTTACATCCTAGATCTTCCAAAGCGCGATGTTGAGACTGACAGGCTAATTTTGGTGGGATATAACCCACTCAAAAAGTAATATTAATCAATTTTTCCTTAGGATTAGTTTTTCCCTCATTTAAAAGTTGGAAGGAACCGTTTAATCGAGCAATCATTCTTTACCAAGATCACCTTATGGCTCGAAAAGATGAATGCTGACCACTAGTTGTTGTTTGATCTCTGTCATTTTTAGGTCCCTATGGCCGTCGGAGGGCCAAGTTACAATTATACCTCAGTTTAGAACACTCTAAAAGGGAAAAAGCGAATGAATACTTGACCAGGATCATCTTGCATTCAATATCTTCAAAGGAATAGATGCATTTAAACTTACCCCTGATTGTGAGCTAATGAAATAATGATAAAACGGTACCATCTTCGGAACTTCAATTTGGTTTCTCACCCTCCTGGACAGGTTTTCTGCTTTGCTTATGGCTGGAAAGCATAAAATGCTGACCTCTAGAGAGGTCTTATTCAGCGAAACGTGCATTTCATTGGCTGCGCTATTGTTGACCCTCAATTTTCTATAGTATAAGCCTTTTTGTGTCGGTTAGTAAAGAAATGGAGGCTAAACTACTATTCTTCGACCCCACCTCTTCAAATAAACATTTCGAAAAAGTATTATATAAACATTGATATTGAGAGCTTAAAAACAACCTTTTATTCACAATCAGATTGAGAAGTAATAAAAAAAGTTTGGGTACGATTAAGTAGCTTTATGATATACTAAACAATTAATTTCACTGCATTTTTTTGTGTATGTAGTTCCGTCTGTCCTGGCAAAATGAAGTGAGAAAAGCGAACTGGATAAACTAACCGCTAACACACTTAGGAGCTCGCAGGTTTTGCAGAGTTGTGGGCTCGAATCCCTCCCAACACGAAAATTTTTGTCCCTAACCCAATATTCTTGCCCAAGTGACAACTTTCGCATGGCTAACTGCGACCAAAAGCAGTAGTTACCAGTCGAAAAAACATTTCCAAATAAATTTCTTTGTTTGATCTCTGCCATTTTAGGTCCCTATGACCGTTGGAGGACCAACAATCACACTTTCCAATGGTGTGAAAATGCCACAGGTTGGATTAGGGACATGGTTGGTGAGTGTGAAGTTTAAAGGCACATGGCGAGCTTTTCGAATCAATCCCTTCCGCGAGTGAGGTTACTAGATTTGCAACGAACGGTGTAGACATTTTCGCAACCCAAAACCCACGTAAGACCGCTAGGGACTCAGAACGTGCACTAGGGTTACCAAAGCCAACCACGCACGCCCACCGTTCTGTGTCTTCCGTCACGCTCGCAACCACGCTCTCCCGTCCCACTCTATCTGGGCCACTTCGCCATCTCAATCCTGCCTGAAATCCTTGAAAATATGTCAAGGTGGAGTATTTGTCCATGAACCGGAATCTTTTGGTTAGTGAAAAACATGTTAGTGTTATCAAGTAATGGAAAGCTCTTCAGAGATACACTCCACACTTATCTGACTAAATGTACCGTCTTAAATAGTGGGGTGCACTATCAAAAGCAAGACCCGGGATAAAAACGGTGTACGAGCGCTTCGTAGTGATAGTTGAGCTACGAAATTAAATGAAGGTGGAAAGGAAAGCAAAGAAATCATTGGAAACGCTAAATTGAGGCTTAACCTTCTGAGGTCGGATGTAATAGGACTGCGAGACAGAGCGATCAAAGAAGACAAGAGCACGCGAAAAAGCACGCAGCACGCTGATCTCTACATCAATCGTGGTGGGTGGGAAGCGTTGCAACGGGGTCGATGGTTGCAGGCCCGTAAGGATTAGCGCCCTAATCGCGCAATTTTTGCGAAGAAGCTGGCACGATCTGTAAGGACACATCACGCTCACTCACGGCATGGTTCTTACTAGTGTGCCTAATACCGAGGCTGGCCTTTGAAACGAACGTGGAGATCCTGCTCGCTTCGCGGCCTAAATATCAGTGGCAGGAGGGGTTTCGTCGTGCATATCGAAGTATTAGGTTGGAAAGAAAGTCCTGCAACACTTTTTCAAATTTTTGATTTTAATTTTATCTTTTTTGGTTACAACTCCTGACCGGTCTTATATCTACCATGAGTGTCCACCACTTGTCTCCAACGCTCAGAAAATTTCTTGATGCTCCTTCGCCAAAACCCAGCGGAGTGCGAGTCGAGAAAGGAGGCGACCTCACTTTCGAGTTGGAGTTGATCGTCTGATTATTTCGTTATCAAGATGATGATTAAAGGTCCAGGATAGGTAGCACTTCATTTACAGCTCGACCAGGGGATTACGCTAAGAGAGGAAAGAAATCTTGCCGCAACTCCAGAATTTCTTACCGGGCTCATTTCGGATCATGGTGATTCGCAATGTCATGAAAGAAATGAATATTGTCGCGGTACGAGGGCTCTTGACGAGCTGCCTCGGCCAGCTTCTGGTATTCCACAGCCTAGGCCTCTACCTACACAATGGTGCCCATAACGAAGGTATGTAGTGGAGCTTCTGTAAGAGCCCTACCTGTAATGGAGTGTGAGGGACGCTGCTGGCTTCTTATAAAAATATCAAAAGATCGGAAGCGCTGGTAAAGGTGAAACACGCTGTATCGCTGAACGGCATGCCTATTGAAGCTATTGCAGATAGTGTGGTCGTTGACACGAATCCATGGTTTATGTAGACATTTGTACTAGACAGTGACTCGGAGTACGGATTTGCTAGTGGTCGAGATTTTTTGAATTTTCTTGGATAACTACTGACTGCAGCACTTATATCCACCTCGTGGATTGAAGCCTTGAGAATGCTCTATCATTTGGTAGTCATAAATGTTACCTATGAATTTTTCAGAAAAAAAGAAAATTTTGGAAAGAGTGTTGCAGAACTTTCTTTCCAACCTAATAGTTCGCTCGTCACATGTGACACTGTCCCGAAATTAGCATCCTCTACGATGTCAGGCAGGTCACATAGCACACACAAACTCATTTCGTTTAAAATATTCCCATTTTGGCTCCTTCGAATATTCAATCATTTCAGTCAAACCCATTTGAAACAAAAGCTGCAGTGAAGACTGCCATCGAGACAGGTTATCGACTGATTGACACTGCTGCACTTTATGGGAATGAGGGTGCTGTTGGCGAAGCTATCAAGGAGATGATTCAAGCCGGAAAAATCAGCCGTGAAGAGCTTTTCATCACCACCAAGGTAAATTATTATTTCAAAGGAAACCCTGAAGACACATTTCGGCTTCTTCACCGTATCAAAAGAAAAAGTCGACCAATGAGAGTGTGCATCCTGCTCCGCCCTACAATCAACGTGGTGTGTTGTGAGAGTTTCAGGCTATTATTTAGGCTCTTGGTGAATATTCGACCAATCACCTCACCATCCACCACTTTCGGGATTCGTAGCTCATAAAGATGGAAATTGCTGTATACGCTATTCAAGGAATTATGAGTAGTCAGCATCAATTTTCCCTTGAAAAAGCGTCACACATCCTTACAAGACCGAGGATAAATATCCAAGCTGAGCTACCCATTCTGGACTAGACTAGTGGGGTTTGATTAGATAGTATGGATGAGATTCGACGCCCAGGGATTCCATATTTGTAATGACGCTGCTTTTTACTGCGCTCTCCATCCTCATGAATGTTGCAATGTAGATATTGTGTAAGGACGAGAATGGGAAAAGTTCAATGTTCTATAAACAACTGAGGGCCTTACACTAAGCTCTTCTTGTTTTTATGGCGTATTGGACTGTTGATAGAAGTTGCGCTATGGTTAGCGGCATGGGTCAACCATCTTCATCCGGATGACATCGAAGAAGCTATCCGCGACTCTCTGGCTCGACTTCAGCTTGACTATGTCGACCTTTTATCTCGCCCACATGCCAACTTGTTTCAATGTAAGTTGTTTGGTGCTAACCGCGATCATTTAACCTTTCCGTAATAACTTCGTATAGATAAAACAAAAAGCTTAAAAATAGTTAAGGACAAGTAGAGTGCGCTGCTTAAAATGACCAGTATTATTTGTAGTGATTAAGAGAGCGTTTTGTAAAATGAGTTTGCCAAATAAAGACGCTTCGAATGAATCACACTGATCTGTGGGCTGCTGTTGCTAGGGACTTGCCTTCTTATGGACTCATGATGACTGCTGTGAGGAGGAATAATTACTGGCCAATCACGTTTCTGCAGAGGTGACAATCAATTGATTCAGATGAGAGCTAAAGGTGCAAGAGGGGAAATTGGTAGGATTGTTGAACAAGGACGGACCTCCTGAGGATGCGAGCGATGCGCAATGGCAGCGAAGGATTTGGCCTCGGCATCTACATAAGATCCCCTTTCACATTCGCTAGGTGTAATGGACATTCCATTCCGTTTGGCGATTTCGTGTCAGCATCGAGATGCATGGAGCGGAATTAATCTGCACGACCTCTTAAAGGCAGAATTTACGATGAAAAGTTAGCTCATTGGAAATAAGGGTAGAGGTGGTCAGTGGAGCAGGGATGAAGAAGAAACCATTGAAACGGCCCGAAACCCGAGAAATGGGACCCCTTCCTTGCCCGTTGATTTGCGCATTGATGCGACTCTCATCGCTGTGCCCTCTTCAACACTACGCTCTCTCTGCTATCTAATCACTCGCCACGTATAGAACTGCGGTGGCGTACCCCGCCAACCGCGCCAAGAGTGAGCCATGCTAGATCGCCGAGGTCAAATCTTTCGCTGCCAATTGCGCGTCAGCACCCTCAGGAGGTCCGCCTGTCTCCCAACTATGCAATTTTCCCTTCTTTGACCTTCGTTCTTATCGTGAATTCTTCTCAATTTAAAAATGCTTCTTTCCCTTCTACCATTGGGGGCCTACTTCATTGACCCAAGAACAAGCTCATGAGTCTCAGGGGAAGGAGACGACCTTCTGAGAACCTTTTGTTGCTCGTACCGAGCACTTTCGCTCCGGAATATGGCCAAGCTCAGGTTCCACAATCTGAAAAAACTTCCTTCTTTCTCTCCTCAACAAGAACCTTATACCCATTTCTTAGTTTCACTTTTCATTCCGAACTTTTCCTCCCAAGTGAGTATCAGCCTTATTTCCTATTTCTGCTTTCCAGCACGATATGACGGCCCAAAATCCTTCGGTAACCGTCCAAGACATATGGCGTGGACTGGAAGGAGTGTACAAAAAAGGGTTGACGAAAGCGATAGGAGTGTCGAACTGGAACGGTGAACAGATCGAGCGTGTCCTCAAAATTGCTACCGTACCGATTCACAACTGTCAGGTAGGCGTTTAAGTGGATAACAAATTGGGTACGATATTTTGTACCATTCAGGTTGAGCTACATCTTTATTGGTCTCAACATGATTTACATGAACTTTGTAAAAAACACAATATTTCGGTCACTTCCTATGCGTCATTAGGATCGCCCGGTCGAGTGAACTACAAGGCAGCGTAAGTTTCGACACTTTGAATTCACCTACTCGTTCTTAGTCGGCTCTCTACCTTCAAGGTATACCAAGTACCAACCTAGGTACCTCCACCAAAGGGAAAAGTCTTCGAACAATTTTTACACTGAGTGGCTCGAAATCCTCTTGTTTCGCACCGTGTTTTGTCTATTGGAAGCAATGCCAAGTCATCAAGGCTTCTTCAATAAAGAGGATAGATTCTTGGATAGAGCTCGTACCCACCACGTCTCGAAGACAAAAATCGCAATAGAACGGATGTTCATGAAAGAGTTGGGTAGTGGGGAGGATAGAGGGGTGACCAAGTGGGCAAAGGGTGGCGAACTATTCTTACATACCAATTACATCAAAAGCTGCCTGTGAATCATCAAGCCCTGGTTCTTCCCTTTCTACCAGCTGTTGTTCAGCATATGAAATTTTCTAAAAGCTTTTTCTCCTCGGAGTTATTCCTTGAGTTATTCATTTTGACCTGGAACTCCGGAACATGATCTCTTGGCACACATACGGAGAAACAGGAAAATAGTTTCCCCATGCACGATGCCTTCAATCTCACGCTGTTTGCTGAATATGGTAGCAGACTTACCCAGGCTGCTAAGTCTAGCTTTACATGGGCTTGTTTACGCAAACTCCTAAATATAGGAATAAAGTGGCGTGAACAGTTAAAAATCTCCCAGAACTAAACGGTCCTTACAGAGAAACGAAATGGACATCTGCTCCAAGTGATATGGAAGATCCAAATGTGAAACTCGTTTGGTTGAGCAGACGCTTAAACCTCCGCACGTAAAAAATGGCGCTAATACGTAGTGAGGCGGGCGAGGGGGGCCACTATTAGCCTGCGACTCCAATGCTTACTGTTAGTCTGCGCCTATTTCGAAACTGCCTCGCGATGGCTAAGATAAGCCTGGAGAGGTCAGAAGGAGACGAAGCGCCGCTGCGCAACCCCTCCCCCTCAAGTACGTTAGCACCGAAAAAAAACTATGTTATTATTGTTATTTGTTACACTAATTTAACTATTTATTGAATATCTGCACCAGTAATTACTAACGCTTGCCATGAATTAAAGGCACGAGTCAGGATTGAATTGATGCGTTATTTTGTTCAAACATTAGGCGAGGGGTGCAAGGAGGAACATTAGTGAGGAGAAAAGCAAAAAGCACCATAGAAAACACTAAATTTCTGCATAGCATACATTGGCTCTGTCGCTAATCCAACGATAAATCCGTTGCATAAACGTTATTGTGGGCGTTGGCTATTCTTTTTGAATAATTTTGATGATTTTTCGTTTAATTGTCACATCTTGTTTCTTGTGTCCCTTACAAGGGAAGGATACCAGGTCGAAGTGGCCATTTGTAACGGGAAATGCATCACGAAGGTGTGTTTTTTGACGCTGATCTGGAATCTGCTCTCCATATCTCGCACGAAACGGGGATTTTTCTTATTTTCTGAACGTAGTTATGAAGAAGATAGTGCAGCGGTAGCGGCCTGGGCCGACGAACAAGAGGTCGTGGATCGACTCGAGTTCGAGTTCTTACTTTTGCTTTTCTTGAAAACATTGTTTAAGGAACTTTTATCCATGCTTAGCCATCAGCGATTGCCAATCATACAAGTGGAAAGAGCTGGCGAAGTGCTTCGAACACTGTGTGCGTCATTTGCAAATGACCGTCTCTGGCACCCGTAGCGCATGCGTCATGCACTTTCTTGCCAAATAGATGTGATTTTCGTGTTCAGCGCATCAAAGTACCCCTTGTGACAACTTTTGGTCCAAATCCAAAATTTTGACCTAAAGTCGAAAATGTGGGCACACACGACCGACAGGACACGGCAAATGACGCGCACAGTGTTCGAAGCTCTTTGCCAGCTCTTTCCTCTTATAGGATAGGCAGTCGCTGATGATTTAGCATGCATAAGAGTTCTTTGAACAATGTTTCAAGAAAAGCAGCTGAAACTCGCCAAGAAGTCGATCTCACGACCTCTTGCTCGTCGGCCCGGGCCGCTGCCACTGCACTATCTCGCTTCATAACTACGTTCAGAGAATCGTTTCGCAGATTTGGAGAGCAGATTCGAGATCAGCGTCCAAAAACACATCTAGTGGTGTATGTCTCGTTACAAATGGCCACTTCGACCTGGTATCCTTCCCTTGTTAGAAGGCCGGCCGTAGTACGACGGAGCGCTGCGAGGAGAGGGAGAACGCGAGATAGTACGTCGTACGCGAGAGGACGCAGAGACCACGTATGCCGTGGTGGATTACGCTGGCAGCGCGGGCAGCGCGGCGGGCAAGGCCTTAGCGCCATTGCCGCGCACTTTTGGGTCGCGATAGTGTCGCGCCCTCAGTGCTTGGGGAGCCCACTATCGCACCCTGGGAAGAACTTCTGCTGGATCCTGACTCGTGGCTTTAAGCCTTTGCTGTGTGTATGAAAAGATCCAGAAAATCCTATGTGTTTTGACAAACACTCAAAAAACTAGGGAAATTATTACTCTTTCAAATTTCTGCTGTAAACTGCCACACATATGGCAGCACGGACGCTTCTATTTTTGTTCGGGGTGTCGCCACTAGGAAATTGTTTCGACCTTCTCATCTATAAGGGAAATCTCAATATTTCACTGAACACTAATAATCCAATTCACAGTTTCTTCCTACGGCGTGTCAACTAACATCCCCCTACGACCACCACACTATGTACTCCATTCCGAGCTCTTTAGTCGCAAGCTCAAGAACCAGTTACAAAATTTGAAGTTTGAAATCCAATACTTGGAATTTGGAACTCAGTTTGCCCTATTAAGGTAGACAAAGCGGCAAAGGAGGGCAAGCCTTCAACAACCACGACTACTCACCACAAAAGATTGAATAGCGCTTCCCAGAGCGAGATTTTTTTTACTAAAAATACGACATGTTTTAGTGAGCGAAAAATTCTTCTTGAGGAACTTCCATCCCTTTAGAACAAATCAAAGTGGGATAAAAAGCAACGAACTTGGCGGATTGATTTCTAGAGGAGAATAGAAAATTGCAAAAGAAAAGCTTCCATTTCAAAGCTTCGCGGTACAATCTGGCATACACGCTATAGAGTGCTGATCTCGTAGATTTTAAGGGATTTAGCGCTTTTCGTCACACCATTTCTGAAGAAACTTATGGGCTGCGTATAAGGAGATAAAGGATAAAGCATTTGCCGTTGATCAATCCCTTTTTGGGATGCGGCACGCATTCTACTTCCATTTGTACATTCGTAGTGGCGTTTGAATGCGATGTGGCCTATACAATGACTTGCGGGGGCCAGCCGATGTACAAGTCAGTGTTTTTATCCTCCCAGACAAGTCTGGTACCAATTAACCGACCCCGGAGGGATGGAAGGCTTGGTTGGCCCGGGCGACTCACGACCCAGGATTTGATCCCCGGACCGCTCGCGTGGAGCGTGCCACTTGCCACTACACCACTTCCGCCCAAAAAATAGTGCCAGAATTTCAAATCTACGCAACCGTGACCCTGTCCCGACTTTTTCCATCATCCATTTACACCATTGCGCCCAATGACATCACCACAATCACTCGACCTCTCAGCACTCGCACCCACTGCCTTCGAAAACCAGTTTATCAAACTGTGGGCGGAGATCGATGCATCTCTGGCCCTCTCATTGGTTGGGCGGTGTGAATAGCTACAGTCATTTCTGATGCCTGATATTCTTAAAGGTTTCCCATTTAGCTTTATAGAGGTGGAAGTGTAGGAGGCAAGACAGAGGAGAGAGGTGATGCTATTATGGCATTTTAACATTTTATCTTCAATTGAACGAGATCATGTTTTACTACACATACAATTTTGCTGTATAAATTGATTGATCTGCCTCAAATCGCCTTTACTTTTATCAGATTCTACTACGCTACTTGATGGAAAGGAATATTGCCATTATACCAAAATCTGTCACTCCATCACGAATCGTTGAAAATTTTGAAGTAAGCTCAAATGTTTATATTGAATTTGCTTTTTCTACATAAGTTTTGCAGTTGTTTGACTTCACGCTGACTCCTGATGACTTACAGTTGTTGGAATCGTCAAAGCATCAACAGAGACTTTTCATGAATGATTTGTGAGTTTGTCTTGTTTTATCCAATATTGACCACATCTCGTCCTCCCCCCTCCCCTCCAACTTCTCCCCTGAGCCACAACAGCTTTGATCCATTCTGAGTAGCGCGAGGAAAATCAGCGTACCTTCAATATCGGTAACTTCTTGAATACACGGGATTGTAAACCGCTCCATACAGTTTTCTCAACACTATTTTTTCCCTTTAGTGTCCTTTTTCGGAACTCGAAGAGGATTTTCTCTAAAAAATTTGCCCCTCTGCTCGGTAAGATGAGCCTTTCTTGAAATGCTCCAAGCGTTTTATTTCAGATTTGTGGGAGCTAACGCATTTGGCCTGAAAAAGGAAGGTGGTGGCTGGTCGAAAAGTCATTGTTCTGTCCTTACTGCGCCTAGAACAATCAAATACAGGTGCTATAACGATGGGAGTATGAAGAAGGGACATATATTTACTGGAATGGGAGCTTGGTTTTATATTGAGCGGGACGAGAAAAATTTGGCTGCTAAACGTGCACTCACGACGGAAAGCTGCCCTACCCACACGAGTTTCCATGCGGATTGCGCCACCTGCTAGTGTCTTGCGTCGAACTACACTGCGACGCATAATTATAGTTCCACCTACAATTTCAGTACCCGGCTGGATATCATTTTCTCACGATACGGCGCTTATCTCAGTCGGATAGTAATCAGGGTTCCTCCCAGTCATATCCTGTAGCATCCTTGAGAAATTTGTTCGTTATGAAGTCACCCCGACAAATTCCAGCGGAGCTGACACTTTGACAATTCCTGCGTCTCTTTTGCTAGGATTTTCCTTTTACGGAAGTGTGACAGCGGGAGAAACATGAGGTGGAACTATGATTTTGCGTCATAGGCAAAGCGGGTATTTTCGAAAAAATAAGGATAAAAAATTGTTGCTTTCTCAAACTGGATTTCCGTGTTAATATTCAGATTCGCGTTTATATGTGTCACAATTTATCTGTAGAGCCTTTTCCAAAAACATCCCCAGATTCAAGTTTTTGGGAAATTTGTAGGTGGAACTATAATTATGCGTCGCAGTGTATAGCTGATTTAACACGTTGGAGACCGCGCATGTTTCACGTTTTGCGGCCACGTGCGACTTCAGTGAAATTTTTAGGAATCTTGTAAGCGAATCGAAAGGAAAAACATACTGTATGATGCAGAAGAAAACCTTATCGAATGAAATGGAGAGAAAAATAAAAGAGAAACTCAATTTGTTTCCCAAGATATGGGCTGTAAGGTCCTACGCGCTCGACGGACTGCAGCCCACATATGGGCTGCTTAGACTCCAAGGTGTTAATAGAGAAACAGAAATGCAGGCAAGAAGGTTTATGTTGATGCCGTCAGCACCGATAAGGGTTCGTCAGCTTGGAAATCAACGGTGACAACAAAGATCCTATCGCTGTCAGCGAGAACAGAGAATGCTTTAGCGATTTAAGCGCAGGAGACAGGCAAAAGGAGTTGACTCATTAACACGTGCACATTTACTTAAATAGCGAAAAAAGGATGTTACAGAAGCGCCAGCTGTTGACGACGCATGAAAGGGACTGTCGTGAACAAGTCGCTTCTGCTTTCTGTTTTCTACTTCAGCCTTCCTATTCTTTTTCCTTGCTTCATTTTGTAGCCCATCGATAAGTTGTGTTGAATTGAAGTTTTGTGGAAGCAGTAAAAAATAGCTTGAGACAGAAGTCCGTCCAGTATGCATGGCCGGAGAGGGAGAACAGATTTCGACCCCGTTTTGAGGGTTTTAGACGTTTCTCTTCCTTTCTTCTTTACTGCTACATCTCTCAGCAACATATTTTCACTCCCAGCTATCCATTAGATGCTGCGATCTGTTTTTTAAGGAGGCGACCACCATAATTTCTAGGGGATTGTAGAGGGGTGTGAGGGTGCTCAATGGTATGCCAGTGGCGAAAAAATTAGAAACGTCAATAAAACACAAAAGGGACCCTCTTGTTTGGCCGTTGATTTTTGCTCACGGACGGGCAGGATTGAGAAAGCGGACGTATGGACGAGTTTACCGCAACGCGTTTGGATGGCATTATGCCAATCTGTGCTCCAGTCGAGTGGCTCCAGTTGTGGCTGCTGCTGGAAACACAGCTCGTCCTCACCTTTTGTTGTGAAAGCGCCACATCTCGCTTTCTTGGCAGGCTACTGGTTTGTGTGGCACATATGCTTCTCCAGTATGCTCTCTCGTTATCGTAATCGTTTTCTTGAACTGAGATGGTTACAATATATGGCCATGTAAAACTAGCCCCGTCGGAAGTGCAACATTGTCCCTACTCGCACTCCGCTCAGGTGAAACTCGGCGGCAAAGACACTTTTGATACCACCCGCCCACGCTTTATACGGCTCTGTCCACGAAACGAATCTCCTCACAAGCCAAAGCGCAAGAAAAGTTGTGCCTTCCCTCAAAACCTTTTTCCGGAAAAAAAAAAACGATCTTGCTGCTCCCATTTCACTATAGAAGTCTTCAACAAGTGGCGAAAGTCAAAGGAAGGCCATTGGCAGTGATTCCGAAAATGAGCAAAAAACGGACTGAATGAAACTTGCCGTCATGAGTAAAAATTATCCAACTCTGAAGTGACTGATCTTGCACGTTGACGTTGGAGCAGCAGTAGCGGTCAAAAGTTTGGAAACTTTTCTTTCTGACCTAGCGTAGCCAGTAGACAACAAAATTGTCCGGAGTTCACTTGTTACATAGAGAATCAAGTGCATAATACGATGTGATATTTCACTTCTGAAAGTAGAATATTGCAAATGGAATATTCGATTTTTTTATAAGAAGCAGCTCGTGAAAAGTTTGGGAACTCCCCAATTCTAAATTGAATTTAGAACAAAAGTTCTTAAATCTGCATGAAGAATTAGCAATTTGCTGCGTAGCTCTGAGTTCTACGCTAGCATCGTTTTAACGATATTGAATTGAATTTGAACATCTATTATTGGTGTTTAGTTTTGGGACTTGAAGTGAGAGCTGTGAACATTTGTGAGTTCAAATCAAAATTGTTGTGACAGGGACTCCTCACTGGAATGTGGCTTGCATGATATGTTACCGCTTTTTCGGCGAAGCAGAACTCAGTTAGTATTCTGATCTTGGCTTGGTCTTATCTCAACAGCTTTTTTCCTTGGTTTAGGAAGGCGGCCATAAGGAGGTAGGCCCGCATTTTCGGCTAGTTCTGACTATGAAAGAGGAGCATTGTATATGTTCAGACCATCTTTGTGATTACCCCAATCCACAGTTCCACAGCTCTCTGGATACTAAGTACTGGAGAAATGCGGAAGGTCGGCGCACACGGTCCCCAATGACTAACCCGATGACTATACTCCCAGGCAGGGTCAACCGTCCGTTCGAACTGTTCGAACGGGGGGGGGGGGGTCGCATTTGTGTTCTGGGAGGGGAGAGGGTCGCATTGCGCAGTTCTGCTGGTTACGTTTGGTCATCAGGGGCGCAGGGCATAGGTGCGTGCGAAAAAAGTTGCCGTTTCACTGGTTGTATACCCCCCTGCTCGCTATTTTTAGCGGAAAAAGTGGGCGGAGTTTTCGGAGTTTTAGGTTTGTGGTTTTTTTGTGGTTTTTGTGGTGTAAGGTTTTGGGGTTGCTGTAACGCTCTCTGTCTCAGAAAAATACTTATGGGGGGGAGGCGGGGGGCGACAAAAATCCCGAAAATGTTCGAACGTGACGGTTGGCCCTGCTTCCACCCTTTCTGAGTATGGGGCTTAATACTCGAAATAAGGTTTCCACTTGACAGAACACTTGACAGGGCTTATAACATCATTTTCAGAAAGGCAGAAATTTCATTTGTCGCTGAGGACAAAGTTTTACCTCTCGCCGGTCCATGTTAGCCGTTAGTGTGCGGAAGCCAGTTGGGCCATCCTGCTCTTGAAGCCCAACAATGGCTTCTTGTTGGGACATCATCCGTAATATTCACCAGGTCGCGGCCGATGTTGACTGCACTTGGACTTCATTTGACCGGACCAAAAAAAAACCAAAAAACTAGTTCCTTTGTTGGGGATGTCAGTTGGACGGGATATGCCAACCGCCGTTTGAAGTAGAACATCATTCTCATTATGCTTGCTTGGCTCCAACAATGCTAGAAACCCTGGATAATAATGCTTCCGTAGAGTTTTAACTAATGGTAAGGAGAAACAATTTCGATTTCGCATTTTCGAGTGTAGGTTTAAAAACCTTTCCTATGGAAATAATGTTTCCTTTTTACATGGATTCATTTTAAAAGTACATAACACTCAATAATTAAACTAAAATTAACAGAAACAAGCAAACATTGAAGAGTAGGAATCATAATGATGAGGGAAACAAAAAGTTTCCAAACTTTTGACGCGCCATTTTCTTAAAAAAGTATTTTTCAATTATGATTCCTTGATTTCGGGAATCTGTAATGTTTGTCGCATTCTAGACGTAATTTTGTATACACACTAAAAATTGAGAGCAGTATTGTTGGTACTGACTTTGCAAGAATGAAAATAAAAAAGTTCCCAAACTTTTGACCGCCACTGTATGTGTTTTTGAATTTGAGCCCATATCAACACAAATGACTATAGCTTTAATCGGGACGAATTTTCAAACTGAAAGCAGATTCGGAAGTTCTTTGAAGAGTCTTTCCAATCGGTGTAGACATTACAAAATTCATTGAGAAATAACAAATTTAGGTCAATTAACGAGGAAAATTCGAGATGAGCACGAGTTTTTACACTTTCCGAAGCCATAACTTCCTTCAAATTCGTCAAATCTGAAGAGTCAACATAACATTGTAAACTGAAAAATTTTCCCTATTTAACTTTTGTTTGAGTCTCCAGATTCCTTCAGCATGTCAAGGGCTCTGTTGAAGATTTCTGCAAAAAAAAACCAGGGGAACTTTCGAGAACATTCGCGAGCATTTATCTTCCAGAGCCATAACTTACTTCAACTAGTCAAATTTGAAAAGTTAGCACAGGCCCGAGACCGCCGAGAGGACCTCCTTCGCTGCCATGG